AATTCTATTTGTAAATAAGTAGAAATTCCTTTTGTGGCTCTTCAATGTTTCAAAATGGACGATTATTTCGACGATTTAGATGAACTTGGTGAAATCAACCGTGTTATTCCCATCAATATACATGTCAGGGATCGCCCGGGCCCCTTCACATGGTTTTCGCAGGAGGAATTTAAAGCAAGGTTTAGATTGAATAAGCAATCGGTGTTGAATATCACTAATAGTTTGCAAAAATGAAACATGATATGGATTTCATATCAAATTTATCATGACGTTCATTTGCTCCTTCGAAAAATAGAAGGAATTAAAGATATCGTTTGATCTTACTCTTGTTGATAATTGTCATAAAAGCTATAAGACACCAGATGAGAGTCTATAGAGTTTCGGACTACAAGACATCCACACTACATACAACAGTGATTAAAATGTTAAATAAGAAATATGTCTTAGTGACCAATCTTTAGACTCTTTTATCATATAGATTGTGTATAGTCTGTGGTTACAGACCACAGTACAGATAAATATATTTAGTAAATTGTTAGTTGGTGCATACAAAAAATAGAATTATCTTTAAATACATTTAACTAAATAATAATAATAATAATAATTCTATTCTTCTTAATTTGATTTTATATGGTGCATACGGGCCAATAACACGTTTGTATCAGTTTCATCTCATATTTGGAGTGTGTCGCAAGTTTGCAATTTTATTCGAAAACAATATTATATCTGGACATTGGTGTCCTTGAAACGTTTCAGCCTCACATGTTTTAACTATTTTTTGTTTACCTGTTTACAAAACAGTTAGGGCGAAGCCCTCTCATTATAATCAGGGCGAGACGACTCGCACTTTATGTTTTAACGGATGCCCTTTCATGTTCAAAATAAGTAAAGTGATTCTTCGAGATGTTAGTCTTCTGTTTAAGGTAACGGAATGTGGTCCAACAAGTCATAATTTCATATATACTTTATGTAATAGGCCCAGCGGGTTGAAGAATATTTATACATGTATAAATCAGTTTTTCCTTTATTACAGCACAGGGTAAATCAGTACCACCTGATGATCATATAATCTTAAAACTAACAAAGATTTATTCCTTGAATGGCATTTAGTAATCGGCATGAATAAGAAATAAAATATCACTTTTATGGAATACAATTACTATATTTATTACAGGCGACGTTTCAACTAGAGTTCTCTCTAGTCTTCATCAGTCAATGATACAGACATGTAATGGTAAATGTATTCCATAAAAGTAGTATTTTATTTTATGTAAACTTTCTGGTGTCAATATTCAGTTTGATTCCCAAAAATACCATTTGTTTCGTTTTTTGTAGTAACATACCTTTCCAAAATTCCCGTATAATCAAACGAAACTACTCAGAGTTACAAAAAACTATAGCCTACCCACTGCTATTATATGAAAAAAAAAATCCAAAAATATAGTAATAGCCTATTCTTAAATCAAAAACTGCTTGTTCGTGGCCAATTAGATCATATACTGACTATTAATAATTCGAACCGGTTTTACGAGTTATCTCGTTGAAAGTTTTCACTTTTCTTTGTTATTTTAGATGATAAACTCCCTTCTTTTTGACCCCAGTTATTTCATTCATTGCTTTAATAAATATATATATAAAAAAAAATTTTTAATATATTATTATGAATTTTTATCTTAGGTTATTAACCTTTCCAAATGACCTTCTTACTTTACTAAATATTAACATCACATTAGTTGTGTCAAAATTACCTTGTAGATTAATAAGGTCATGTACTCCCCGAGGCCAACAATTAAATTTTTGTAAAAAGAAATGTAAATTTTAAAACCTATTCCTTTTACAAAACTAGAAGTCCACAAAACGTACCTGTCTCAAAATTGTGGCAAGTAATATTTGGAAGTCGACTGCGGCCATATAATTATCTACTCTCGACTTCTCGCTCACGAGAACGCGAGGAAAATAGACTTTCTAGTATTTCTGAACATTATTTACATATATTCAAGGCCTTTTCGAATCTGCCCCTTAGAAGAATGCCTTGACAGTTGGAAATCGAAAAAGAGCAGGCTAATGCCGCCGTCCTGGCAAAATTTCTCTCATTGTTCCCTGCATGGCGTTGTCCGTCATTATTATCACATACATAGCGCAGAAAAGTAGGACGTACAACTCCATTCATTTCATTTCCTTATATAGAAGAATGACTTTGCGTGGGTAAAACAATTGCTCAAACAATTCATGCCGGTACCTATTTACTTTAAACCACTCCATTCTCCACCTTTTTTGGAGATTCCCAATTAAATTTGTAATTTTACAATTGATTTTGGACTTAGCCCTTCATTGGTTTTGAGAAATGTGAGAAGATTTATAAGTATACGGTACGTGGAGTAAGTCCATAGATTGTTGAAGGAATACTACGAATGAATATAACATTTTTAATTTTTAAACTTCACCAATAAGGGCATATATTCATCAGTGAACATACGTGGTGTCATAAATAACACAAACTATAACAGGTGATCTAGAAGCATTCAACACAGATCGAAGATCAGGTAAATCAGGTTATAACATAACAGGATCCTTATTTAATCCGATAAATCCAAAGAACTTAATAATTATCCATAAAAATGCAATTAACTATTGAAAAATTAAGATTAAGCGTTTTTCAATAATTACTTAGTTTTATCGATTTTCCAAATTTCCCAGAGATTTTTTGTAACTTGACACCAGGTAAGTTCCCTGATGGATATATACTCATATTGACCATTCTTGAAAAGTTAAATTTGATGTTCATTATAAGACGTATAGTATCACTTTAAAAAAAATCAGATCTGTCTATTTACTTGCCTTTACTTCGCTTACCATCTTTGATTGGTGCGCCTTTTCAACACACAGTGTAAAGTGTAAATTCTGTAATCCGAGAACTGTTACTAGTAACATTTCATTATCCGCTTAATTCCACTCAACATTTTCCCTTAATAGGTTATCACTTGCACGGTGTAATTTGTCGTATTCCCAATACGTGTTTTTTATGTCTTATTTTACAAGTGAGAGTATGACGAAGAGCGTGTAGTTTGTACACGATGGATTGAGTATTAGGCCTACCCTCTGACTACACTGTTAAACTGAATTGAATTTTGGCATTTTTTCATTTTCGTATGAATTGAAATATCAATAACAAAATATAACTTAGTCTTGAATTTCCTTTGGGTTGATGAAAATGTTAACCACTTAACCAATTTATCATTTGATAATATGATTTTATACAGAGGAGAATTTTCAGTCATAAAAGTGGGTCATTTTCCCGTAGTGGCTCATTTATCACAGCGACTGGTTGAACGAAGTCTACGGAAATTCACCCCCAGAAAAAAACGCAGGAGAGCATATGTTTTAAAACAAATTCCTGAGGGAAGGGACAGGGGTCCCAACCCACTAAAGTCCACAGATCCTACTCATTTTGTTGAACCACTGTTTTAACGTGAGTTTTCTGGGCAGGAATTGTGTCTTTCAAATGTTAAATCGCTGAACCTTATATTTCAATTTACCTGAAGACATTGTATCACTAGATGTCGTCCCTGCGAATATCTACGTTATTCTCATCATTTTGAAAATAAAAAAGCGGGAAAACATTTGAGATGTCGGACGTTCTGTCATGTATAGATAATAATGTAACTTACCTAATTTCTTGTAAAAACTGCGATGCTCAGTATGTTGGCTAAACTCAAATTGCTTTGCTTACTCGTTTTAGCGACATGCATCGTTTCGATATACTTCAGAAGAAAGATAGACCAATCGAGAATCATTTCAACCTACCCAATCATTCCATTGAAAATATTGTTGTCATATCCATTGAAAAAGTTCCCTTATTACCTACCGTTAAACCCAAATTTAAGCGATTGCAGAGTTTCTGGATCGATCAATTGCAAACCATTGTACCAAGTGGTCTAAATATCAAATCATACCCTTTTGTTGCAACCTATAATTCCACTGCCAAAAATTCTTCTCTGTTTGTCAAACGATATTCTACGAAAAGTCAAGATCAATTTCCCAATATTTGCACTAAGCGTTTGGTTAGGCTTTGAAACAATTGCATTATGTGTTTTAAACAATTCTTTTTGTATTATTTGTCAACATTGTATTATTTCAATCTTTTCAGAATTTACAATGTTGCAATTTCTTTTAGCACGCAGCACAGAACATTGATAGTAGCATTTCAATTTAATCTTTATTACTCAAATTAATAATTGATGTAAAGGAAGTATATTCTCTTCTTGTGATCTTGGAACACCCAACACTATTCAGCGGACACCGTACATCGTCTATTCGCACGTTAAAGAAAACAAAGATAGAGTTATTGCAAATAAAGACAAGTGCAGTTAGGCTTACTTTGCTCCAAATTCAGCAAGAACATTAACACGACATACTTTATATATGGAAGAACAATTACAACAAGAACAACTATTGATATTTATAATACCAGAATCACGTGACGCTATTCACATGGTTCCGGTAAATAATAATAAATATTTACCGTGATATGTTCACTTAGGTGGATATGTTGCAGAGCTATGTTGAACACTTGAACTTTTACGGATATCCTTTGGGGTCGGTTATGATGATTATGTTAGAAGGGGGTTGGGGCCTTTTTTCCAATTATATTTTTGGGGATTTCAATCATCTAATATAGAGCTTCGAAGATTGTATCTGATTGAAACACTCGCTGTTTCCCCCGCGTCATCTAGTTAGAAACGCACTGGCCTAGGTCACAAAGTCAAGATTCGTGGTAATACAAGGTGCAAGATTTAAGATAATTAGCTGAAATAGCCGAAAATATAAGGAAAAAACCGTTCCCCTTACATATATATTAATATTTTTCGTCAGTATGTCGATATGACCTTAAAAGACATGGAAGATTGTGACTACCGGAAGTGCATGGTGCTCGTAATGGCGACGTAAACAAACAAAATGATATTTTGTTGGACATTTGTAATTAATTAATTATTCTGTCCTTTTTATTTCGATCAAATTATTAGCCCCTAAATACAAAAGGAATATGTCGTCTGCTGTTGAACAGACTGATAAATCTCACACATCAAGCTCCCAGACCGGAGCATCTTCGGCTAAAAATGGACAATCAACTCGACGACGGAGAACACGGATGGTGAATGAAAAAAAGATAGCCGACGACGAGTTTATGGCTGCAGCTATAGGTGATGTAGAATGGCTAAAGCAGAGTCTAAAGGACAGTGGGTCCATATCCAATTTTGATAAGAATGTAAGTTCCTCCATTATTTCATTCATCAAACTAAAGGGTTCAGTTTTGGTGGTTGCTAAGGAACTTCATGTTGTTTCCAGCTTACTCTAACTTGGATTCAGTTTCTAAACATCATTAATATGTGGCTTGGCAGACAAAAAAACTATGAAAGCCCATTTAAGGTAGAAATAGCTCTATTTGAACCCTCCTTTTGCTTAATAAAATTTATATCAAATTTCAGGGATTAACAGCATTTCACCTAGCTGCTATACATGGCCGTTTAGATTGTCTCAAACTGTGTGTAGAAAAGTTTAAGTTTGATATTAATCAAGCCAGTTCTACAGGTTGGAGACCAGTTCACTTGGTAATCAGTAATCAAACTGGAAAAAGAGCTTTACAGTGTTTAAAATATTTGTTAGAGAAAGGTGCCAACCCATCTGTGTAAGTTATTCTAGATGAATTTCAGTCTCATTTAAATTATACCAAATTGCCTCTGTTTTTTAAAGCTTTAGTTTTTTATGTTGCCACTTCAGTTGGATTCTAAAGATGCCACTCTTTGTTTCTTCTTATTGCCATGGAAATTTAAGCCTTCAAATCCATGTGTGTTAAGAATTATCATTTATGCACCCACCGTGCGAGTGTTATGTGATATTTGGAAAAATTTGACTTTTTAGATAGTTAAAAACAGTTTAAATTTTCAACAACAGAGTTATTGTCCTTGCTCCTATATAATGAAACTGATACAGCTCTTTGAGTTTTCAATGGAATTTCATTAGAATGGGATTAAATCAGTATAATCCAGATGATCAAGTTACTGAATGGGGGCTTGCGACAATTACAGTGATTTTTAACTCCTACTTTGTAAAATATGATAATTTCATTATATAATTTGAATTTTAATTTCAGAACTAATGATGACCTTATAACCCCAGTCCACCAATCAGCTAGTGAAGGTCACGTTCAGTGTTTAAAGTTATTAATAGAAAATGGGGCTTGTGTTAATAGCAAGGATTGCCGTGGAAATACACCATTAGATCTATCTAAACTTTGGAGTCATAGAAAATGTGGCAGGTATGTCTAAGTTAACTTAAAGGGCAAGTTCGGCATACGTTTGAACAATCATGCCTTAGCATCAGAAACGGTAATTTTTTGGCTAAGCTAATCATTACTAGTTTTCACAGCTCAAAATTTAAGCCTTCATATCAATATCCAAAATTATCTGTGTTTGAAAGTTAAAACGATGAATCGTCTTTACTTGAGACTTTGCCATATATAGAAAAAACATAGAAATAAATAGTAAAATTTCTAGTTTGGGATAATTTTGACGAAATTATGTGAGTTTCATACAAGTCTAGTATTTCTGAAGAATGTTTAAGACCCGAATCAACCCCAAAAATGGCGAACCTGTCCCTTTAACAAAGTTATGCTATTTTTTATTAGTAAACTAATTGCAAGCTAATTGCTTGATAGTCATTGTGAAAAATGCTACAAAAAGTTGAAATTATAAGTTTTCATTTGGTTTTAAGAGATAATGTCTTTTTAACAAATAAAACATTGATTGATGCTGAACTTTACTTCTACAGTCCATGGCTAAGACTTTCTGCAGCCTGTCAACTCATCTGTTAAATCGATTATTGAATAATTATAAGCACCATAAGAAAACTTAATCTTTCCTTTTTTTGCAATTGCTTTTACTATTATATCATAATGACAAATGCGTCATTTTCTACAGTAACATATATGGTTCATTTAATGGCTTGAAAATTTTTTCTGTTATTATCAAAAGGTATACGCGACAGAACATTTCTGTTGCTCATTTGAAACATTTGATACCCTTTTAGAATTCTGGCAGCAGAAATTTGGCACCAAGAAAAAGACCATGTTGCCATGGAAATGAATCAGTTACAGAAGGTAAAGATGCAACAAGTACTGAAAGACCTTGAAGAAGAAGAAGAACGACATACTTCTCAGGAGTTTTATGGACAACAGGCTTTCAAAGACTGGCTAGCTTCTAGAAACCTAGAAGAGAGACCTACTGGACCTACTGGTAGGAAGACAGAAATGGACTATAATTATGACGAAAGTGCAAGAGAGACCAATAGCCCCGACAAACATCCCTTGATGAAACCAAATAGTAAGGCCCCACCAAGATCAAATAGTCAGCTCCGCACACCAACAAGTCGTGAGCCAACTCAAAGTCCAGGTAAAGAAAAGACGTCTATGTCTTTAAAACGGGATCCAACCTACAACACAGAGTATACTTTTGAGTTTGAAGAAGATGACGATGAAAATTTTGATGGACAAGGAAACAAACCTCAGGTTGCAGGTTCTCCGGAGAAACGTACAAAGAGCAAGTTGATCCTGGCCAAACATGACAGTCCATGGACACTTACAACAGCTACCAATGTACCCAAACCTGAATATTTGCCTCACCTTAAAGATGAATATCCGCGCGATGAATTCACATTAATGCCAAAAACAAAACCTGAGCAGAAATATTATGATGGTAAACATGCTGGACCTAAAGAACTGAAGAAAGAAAAATCTGCCTCAGCCAAGGCCAGAGCAATTGACCTTCCCAAAGATGTACAAGACAAGGTTCTGTCACGAGATCCATCCATTCTTGAACGACCAATATTATTTAAACCCAAACACGTCATTGACTTACCAACTAAGAAAAAACTGGAAGAGGAAGTTAAACCCAGAGATGAGGTATCATTACATCTTTGTAGTGATGTGTCATCCATTTTGTTTAAGAACAGTTTAAAAATGAAACCACCATCTTCTGCTAAAAGCAGTTCATCTGGTCTCAGTAAAGCTACTGATTGGACCAGTGAAGATTTCCCTTCTGCAATGGTGGCTCAAGCGATGAAACAGATGGCAAAGTCAAATTATTTTCCTAAAACAAGTGGTTCAGGTATTAAAATCTAACCGATGTAGGTATTGTTATAACAATGATTCAAGTTTAGTTAATGAATGTATACTGTACATTCATATTAGGTGATTTTATGATAGTTCCTTGTGATAAATTTGTTTGTTTTTTTTGTATAAATTTTATGGATTATCAGCTTCAAAACAAGCTCGACATTCTTAAAATGTTCTTTAAAATATAAATTTTATCGGTTTACACATTGTAGAGTATGATTCTCCATTTTCATAATTCCGTCCACTTTCAAGACATTTATGTTGTTAATTACATTCCAATGAAAAGATTCTTTTAGAGGTACCGTTGCGCCATTTTGAGAGGTTGATTTTAGTCTTGAATATATGTAAATAACCTTCAGAAGTACTAGAAATGTTCAAAAATCATAAGTCCCCTTAATACTTTAAAAAGGACATGAGTTCTGACATTTTGCTAATTTTTCTGCAAAATGGTGGTAAGATTTTGAAGCGTGCAATAACATCACCTTGACATTTATAGCGTCATCTTAACGTTTGAAGGTCATAATAGCAAAATAAGGCAAATTATGCAGGGAAAATGTAAAAACATAAATTCTTTAATATTAATAAGTTCTCAAAACAGAAATTGGCAAATTTCATCTATTCTGAAGCATTTATTGAGTTAAGGAAAATGGTATACCTGTCGTAAGTTAAGCCAAATTTTTAAGTGTTATTTTAGTGAAAAAAATTTTTGGGGTTTTTTTAAGAAATTTTAAGAAAATTTTTGGACTCAGGAGGTTTTGTGAAAAGGAGGCCAGAATTTTAAGCATATTTCTAAAAAGTGATATTGAAAGGTAAAAGATTAACTGTTAAAGTAAATAAAACTGTCACTATCTACTTCAAAAAAGTATATTATCCGTGCATTCATACCCACTTTTGTGTATCTCCTTTATGACTTGATGTATTCAGACACTCAAAAAGATATCATATATAATCATGAATATTATATAATATTTTTTTAACATTCAAGCAAATTTTTAGACATTTGACACTAAAGAAACTGAAAATGTTACAAATTAGGTTTTATTCGCATGCATCTGAGGCCATTCCGGAAAGCATTCTTGTTGACAATGTACATAAAAAGTAAAGACTTTTCTAGGATTTCCTCTTGATTTTAGCCAAATTGAAAATAAATTTATGGCCGCTGGACAGCCTGATATTGCTGTTAAATCTTATCCATTCCAAAAAATATTTGCCAAAAACCATTTTCAGCATTGTAATGATATTGAACTGTCTTTATTTTTTAATATTCTATATTTTTTAATACTGTTATTTGTATTTAATCTTTTATGTAAATTTGATTGATTGAATATTTGTTTATATTTGTCTATTAAATATTTATGTTTGGATTTTGATATTGATATATTCAGAAAGGCAAAGTCTCAGTGAGTTCAGAAAGGCAAAGTCTCAGTGAGTTCAGAAATGTTAGTCTCAGTGAGTTCAGAAATGTTAGTCTCAGTGAGTTCAGAAATGACAGTTTTTCCAATTTTCCAGATTTTCCATGGATTCTGTTGTAACTTAATGACACCAGGTAAGTTCACTGATGAATATATACTCATATTGACCATTCTTGAGAACTTAAATTTGATGTTCATTCTAAGGCATAGTATCACTTTAAGATACTGCTCAGTTACACTGGACAACTAGACTTGCAACATTTCCACAAAACTATGTATGTTCAGAGATTGGCATTCTTTTAAACTTTCCATTTGTTTCAGCATATTCTGCCCTATACACTTAAAGGGATATAGATATTTACTTCAGTATCTATTACAACTCTTATTTCAGCATTTAATTAAAGTGAATATTTAGCTCACAGAAAGAGCAAAAACAATTTGTTTTGTATTTTTAAACATCTTTACTTAGCATCTTAAATCACCTAATAATACAAAAGCACAATATTCTTTATCTATAATTTCTTCCTTGATAGAAAGACAATCAAAAACTAGCTCACTCTTACTGAGGTATGGGGGTTTAGGGGTGTGTTTAGTAGGAAAAGTTTATCTAAATTTTCTACCTTTGAAATATTCTGTACATAATGAAAAGTTGACATTCAAATATTTTTTAATGCTCAAGTATGGAACTTCCACACCAAACCAATCAATTGCTCAATATTTGATGATTGGTTTAAATTGTTATACCATTGAAAGGGGACAAAAAAAAGACCTATTCCTACTACTAAACAATCCAATTCAGTTCAAATTTCAACTAAAAAATCCACCCATTAATTTTTTATCGTAAAAACTAATTAAAAAGGTTAAGTATGGTTTTCGAGCCTGTTATGATATTTGGTGGTTCAAAAAAAGCTACTATACTGATTTGGGTAAAATAAACGCCTAATTGTAGAGAAATATGTCTCCTACGTATTTTAATGGTTTCAACAAGTAATATCGAGCCATTATAAAGCTTAACACCAAAACTAGGTCAAACTGCTTAATTAACAATTAGTACTCTCTATTATTAAATATTTGACCACTTTCATTGGAAAACTGAATAACGCCTAAAATATCAACTCTTGGAATATGTGTTGAATAGCAATATTGTTAGACTATAGATGACATGTGGAGTTGCCCACAGAAAATACATGAAACATCCATATCAGAATTTTCATTAGGTTAGACTATAATATGTGTCTAATTTGTTCTCAATTTAGAATAGATATTAATATAAATAAATACTAAATGTTATTTACATAGAATGAGATGAAATATTTAATCTCAAAACTGGATTTCATTGATGTATGGTAGACATAAGTAATCAACATTGGAGAGCATAAAGGTGCAGGCACACAAGCAGTCTTGGTTGGAGATTTTTATGGCCGATAAGAGTAAAATCGTGCATGTGCCAGTTCTTCCACAAAAAGATTATTGCGTCTCCGCCAGGATTTATAATATCAAACAAGTTTGATAATTGTCTCCACGATGATTTTATCCTGTGCAAGACAGACCGTCATCATCCAATCAGATTCATTTTACTTTCATTGCATGCTCCGCACGTGATTATCGACATAGTGGACTGACTGAAGATTTTTGTCTCCTCATGTGCCAGTCGTTGAAACTCTTGACAACCTCCGACCAAGACCGTTCATGTGCCAGCACCTTAATTCCACTTTTTCCAAACAAAAAAGGACTTATGACATCACAAGTATTGTAATATAAAGCACAATTCTTCAAAATAATGGACAAACCAAAGTGTTTTAGCATAGAATTGAAAGCAATACCAAAGCCTTGTCATAAACTATGAATAATAACCTTCAAAATATCGGATGTATATCTTCCATCTTACATCTACTGAAAAATCTCTAAAATAATTCATAATTGAACCTTGTGAGAATGAAAACAGTAATTAAACAAATAATTATACAAAGGTGTCTGGATTGTTATCAAAACCACTACCATCTTTTGTAAAGATTTAATGAATATCTAATACATCTGGTCTTATCAATAACATTTCAGGTATTATGCTTAAAGCTAAATAATATTTATTAATTCTTTTTCATGTGTCGGCCATATTGGATCCAGAACGAGGCAAACAAACAAAGGCAATAGTGTTTCATTGCAGTAAAATTACCAACTTAATGTCTCTAAAGCCCCCTTCTCCAATCCTACTAACTCAAAACTAATCATATTTTACATCATTCAATTCAGAATTGATAAAGCTATTTAATGATAGTTTCAGATGAATTTTACCTTCACACATTTCTGAGAATGGGCAGTTTTAAGCCTATTTTTCAATTAGTTCTATTTTTCATTTAGTTCTATTTTTCAATTAGTTCTATTTCAATTATTTCTAGTTTTCAATTGGTTCTATTTTTCAATTAGTTCTATTTCAATTAGTTCTATTTCAATTATTTCTATTTTTCAATTAGTTCTATTTTTCAATTAGTTCTATTTCAATTATTTCTATTTTTCAATTGGTTCTATTTTTCAATTGGTTCTATTTTTCAATTGGTTCTATTTTTCAATTGGTTCTATTTTTCAATTAGTTCTATTTTTCAATTAGTTCTATTTTTCAATTATTCTACTTTTCAATTACTTCTTTTTTTCAATTAGTTCTATTTTTCAATTAGTTCTATTTTTCAATTAGTTCTATTTTTCAATTGGTTCTATTTTTCAATTAGTTCTATTTTTCAATTAGTTCTATTTTTCAATTAGTTCTATTTTTCAATTGGTTCTATTTTTCAACAAAATTTTCTCGTGAAAGAACTAAGCATTTGAAAGATTTCTGTCATATTATGAATTTCAACCTTAACAGTTGTCTCCCCTTTGAGTCAGTCTGCTCTTATTTGTACCCCCATCTCAGGCTGTTGACACTGTTCCATTATCTGTCATGGCAAAAAAATCAGAACAAAAAAAAAAAACATTCAGCAACATTTATCAATACTGTCTCAAAAAAGCTCTTCTACATGCATGCACTTGCATAATTCAAGGAAAATCACAAAAAAAGGACAAAAAATCCATATTGTCGTTGCACCAAAATTCTGAAAAACAATTTCATCTTCTTCAGATTCATCATTTTCCAATTTGTTCAATTTTTAAATGTCTGTCAGAATATTTTTCTCTGAAGATATCTAACATCAAGTTGTAAACTTCCATGGTACAGAATTAATGCCAAGGTCTATTCAAAACTGTTTTTTCACTCTTTGAGGTAAGATACTTTCTTGTGCATATTTAAAGAAAGACAGAAGTCCATATCGCTTCTCTTTACTCTTAAAATAACTGCTTACAAGATCTGAAAAAAACAAAAAAACAAAACAAAAATTAAACATGAAACGCAATATAATATCTTAACCTTTTTCATATTTAAATAAAATAACTTGCAAGGCAAGGTAACATATGCTGTCTGGCAGCTTTGATTTTAAATAAGAATATTTTGCAGAATGTCAATCTCACCAGTGTGAAATATTCAACCTTCAGACATACTACTATCTGAACTTTTTTGTTTTCGGGCTCTTTCCTTGATATAACTTTGTCCAAATCCAAGACCTGTGCTTTCCTGAGTGATTACATTGACAGTAACTCAAAAAATATTTTGTGAATTGTATGGTTTTTTTTTTTTCAACACTTGTGCATAATATTGTTGTTTTAACCAGCCAAAAATTCATTGAGTTTTGAGGAACACAGGCAATAACTTTGTCCAAATCTCTAAATTCTAGAGTATTTGTAAGCTAAAAATGGCTTGTGAACACGGGCAATAACCCATATCAAATATTTGAATTTTTTTTTTATTTTCAATGGGGTTCATTTTTAGATGAAAATATACATTTTCACAAAGTTTCGTCAAAATCCGTAAATTCTAGAGTGATATGACCTAAAAGTGGGTTTCGAAGAACAAGGGAAATAACTCATATTAATATATTTCATAGATGATTGGCAATAAGTTGCCTCTACTTTTACTGATCTGACTTGCTACTTTCAATTCAAAATGAGAAAATATTTACCTGGTCCTCCTTGTGAACGATCTGTTGATGCTGTAGTTGTGGGTAAAACATACTCATTAGCTGATAGGGATACGAAAAATGCAAATGGAACCAACCATAAACAAACAGTAAAGTATGCCATTACCTACAACAAAAACAAACAGTTGAGTTGCATTAATGACCATTGCAGGAAAACCACTATCCCATTTCAGGAAAATATTCTCAAATGACTACAGGACTACAGATATCTTGTTAGTGTAATTATCTATATCTTCAATATCCATACAAAATTACTAATTGAATAAAATTCATTTCATAAAAAATGCTTCTGTTTCGCAAAAGTTTGGTACATTCCCAGCATATATACTTCAGAATTAGTTTTTAGGCAGTTTAGCAAGGTACCATAGAAGATCAAAGTGTTGTTACTTTCAAACTAATATAAATCATACAACATCATTGGTCACAACTACCCAGAATGTTAATAACAGCTTGCTCTTAACAACAGTCATACGTCTTTGGCACATCATTTTTAATTGGTTTTACAGATTTTGAAAATGAATAACGCTACATATAACTGGAATTGTACTGTGGTAAAGTATATCTTCAGACTACTGTATCTATTTAAATTCTTACCTCTGAGAATGGGTACCAGACTTGTGAAAAGTGACTAAAAGTTAAGTAATGATTAATAACTATCAAAACTGAAATGAAAATAGGAAATGATAACTATCATGAAAGTTAGGGTGTCAGTGTTACTGATCAATCAAATTTGATCAATTTGTTACGCCTTTTTTCAGAGTATGACTTCAATAAATTTGACTTCTGAAATTTGACTTCAAATGTACAATTCAATGGGTGTATGTTGAAATGGCATCTACTTGCACTATTCCAATTTTTAGTCAGACGTCTGTTGGGCATGCATAAATCTAGCAAAATGGCACTTTGATGCCATTACTACATCAAACCAGGTATTAAGTAGCATTTGGTGTATGTAGCTATTAGTATATTTGGATTCCTGGCATTATCAGCTACATTTTGATCCAGATTCGAGTCCCCTTTAATATTTTACTGCCAGCACATTACTGAGCATTGCAACTTAATACCTGATACAATGTGCGGGGTCACAAATATGGTTCAGCATTTCTCCATTTACTGCAATCAACCATTCCATAAATTAACCCAGTACACAGAAAACAAATGGAAAACCTCTTTACAACCCCTTTAATATAGTTATTTGAATAGGAATACCAGTACTTACCAACAGAACCAATAAAAGATGGAGAAGTCATATAAAAATATGGAAAATTTTGTAAAACACAGAAGTGGAAGAAATTTGCTACAAGTCCTAGTACTGATATATAGAATGGGAAATCTTCAAATAGCAATATACCACCATGAATTACTGAAGTGAACTGGAAAAATCAAAAAAATATATTTAATATAAATCATAAATCATATTGACAAAAGATGTGTAAATACTTGCCAACCTCAGTGACATCTCAGAATATTTGGCAATATCTTGATTAACTACTTAATAATTCAGCTTTGTATAGATACCAAAAATTATGCCTAATTGGGCCTTTGTCATGGTGAAAATTCTCAAAGGTGGGCCTACTGAAAATCAACATTACATGTTTGACCCTAAACACACTTCTGATATCCCATCCGAATATCACATTGGATGGCTGAGAAGCAGTGAACCAGTGAACCAAAGTGAGTGGGGGAAACCTAAAGAGTTAGAGAGCCTACTAAAAGAAGTTTCATGGTTGAAAACTTACAATGATTAAGTAGAATATAATTTTGGATGTGAAAACTGTATTTTCTTCAACCAATTCAGCAAGATAATATAGGCCAGCAGCTGAAATAAAATTCTTATATTTATCAATGGCTTAAATATGACCCTTAATGATCAGTTAGCTAAGGGTATATAAAACATGTCTTTGAATCTCTTAAGATGATGGTTTTATAGGCCTAATGCTCTATCAGCTTCTCACTTTAATGTCGCTACAAGACCAACCTGATGTAACATGGCAATAACAGGACAGATGCGCCATTTTTTTTTACCAATCGTACGTCAGTCTTAGAACAAGAAATTGTTAGCTAAGCCAGTCAAATCCATGTGTTCCCAGATATCATGCGCAGTGTCGTCAAGATTTAACAAATCAACCCTCCAAAAATGAAGCACCTGGCTCTTTAAATGAACCTGTGAACAAATCGAGACTGTAGAGTCATGAACCTGTACCTAACTGCTTATCATCATTCAAATTTGATTGGATAACAAATCAAAAAACAAAGACAGGGGTCATGCATGTCCAAAAAAAATATATCATAAACAACATTATTAAAACATGGAATAAATGTGGATTTACCAATGGATAAAGTTATGATGGCTATTTGAATAAATAAAGCGATCCAACTTAAAACGTAAATAAACCACATTGTTCTAGGTCTCTGGGTAAATGTTTGCAACAAAAATATCAACTGGCAAGACTGCAAATCAACGTTTTATATCGATTAAAATTCTATATCGAAATTCTACACGTATTCGGTGGCCATTAATATTTTAGAGTGATCTCCCTTGAACCATACAATCTGATCTCAGATGTAATAACAAATCTAACAATTTAAGACTCTGACACAAATGTCGGACACATTCTTTGTTTAATGAGAAATTTGCTTCTTTCTATAAAGACGGTTAAGTGTACAACAATATATGGGCTTTCGTGAATTATGTTTAATTGGGTTGTTTTTGTTTTGTTTTGTTTTTTTAAATAGATTTATTCTAACTCTACATTCTTCATTAAAACTATGACATAAATTTCATTTGCAAAAAAATTATGTTTGATGTATCAGAATGTTAGCATCGGTATTTCAAGAGAATCTCATGGACAGGCGATTAATGTAGGATTAACACCTGAAAGTGTAGTAATTGGGCCGATAGGCTACTCAAAGAGGTGTGTTAAGGTGAAATGAGAAAGCACGGGCCTACGTCGGAAGCAAGGACTATTGTACAAGTGCTGGTTAGCTTAGTAGCCTAATGTTTTGTTTTAAAATTATTTTATTTGTCCTGTGCTATAATAAAGAAAAAGCTGCTTTGTGTAAATGTTCTTTTCCCTACTGGGCCTATATAAGAAATAAAAAGATGGGTGTGAACAGATTAATATTGCATTGCATTCAGATTAAATGAATCCAATGGATTCATCTTAACAGCTATAGTCATTGAATGTTTCCGAGGGTTGTCTTATATTGATGGTTATTTTGCTGACAATATATTCAAGGCATATCAACTGGCAAAAAATCAGACGATACACAAAAGTAGCCTGGAAACCTCTTAAAATCGTTTTCTGTTTTGGCTGAAGCACATAGTGGACATATAATATAGCTTCTGTGTTCTTCAATTCATCGTCATTTGCTCTTGTTTGCGCTTTTTAGTCGGACAGAAGAAATCCTGTGAAATACTCAAATTGAACATGTAGGCTATCGCGGTTTCATATGTACTACGTCTTAGAATGACCGTAAAATTAAAGAATTTTAAACTTGGCGAAGAAGAGCGTAATATATTCATCAGTAGATATACCTGGTGTCATAAATAACATAACAGGGTCTTTTTTCAACAATTACTTAGTTTTATCAATTTTCCAATTTTCCAGATTTTACAGGGATTCTGTTGTAACTTTATGACACCAGGCTGATGAATATACACTCATTGACCATTCTTGAGAACTTAAACTTTATGTTCATTCTAAGATCTAGTATCACATTGATATGTGTTACAGCAAGAGACTTGGTCCCCTCCTTAACAATTTGCTGGTGTGTGACAAACGGGCACATAATGTGACATTTATGTTATATAATCGTACTTGCAAGGCAGTCCGAAACTCTTGTCAGCCTATAAGCCTACTCGTCAAACACATAGGCTATCTATAAAAAGCCTTTTGGAGTCAACAAGTTTCTGACTAGTATGTAACAATAAAAATATCACTGTTCGATACAGATTTATTATATTAGAAAACACTAATAGGGAAATCATGTCATTTGAACCTGGCAAGGCGCTTTCTTGTCTTGTAACTATAGTTACGCGATAGACGCCAATGCATGATAATAATATATAATATAAACAGGGAATTATTTTATATAGGATCTAAGAAAGTTGATAAAGAAATCAATGTTATCTAGCCTGACAGTTTATATCAACAAAGAAAGTTTGTTGGGTCAATATCTGCCTTTTAAAAAGCAACATTATTATATAGTCAAGTATACTTTTTTTTTAAAGGGATTTAATATCATTTCATCTGATAAAAACGATATTGGACATAAGATTTGAACGACATTTAGAAGTGGAGAGAAGATATAAAAAAAACACAAGGGGTATATTATGGTATCACTCACTTCTTTAATAACAAAGCACATAACGTTTCAACACAATTTTCACGTGTCGTCATCATCTGAAACGTTGTGCTTTGTTATTAAAGAAGTGAGTTATACCATAATAATATACCCCATGTGTTTTTTTGTTATACGATATTCGACGTTCGACAAAATCAAAGTCATAAACCAACTGAAATATCCTAAATATATGAAACAACGCTCTTAATTTGACAGAATATTTAAACATGAATACAGTCTTATTATCATTTTCCGACCAGCTGATAGAGTTCGAGAGCTTAAAGGGACAGTTGCACCCCTTTTTTGGGGACGACTCGTCTTTTTAACTTTCAAACGCGGATAATTCTGGATTTGAAGGCTAAAATTTCGACGGTGTGCTATGTACAGCTAACAAATTCCCGTTTCTAAGACTAGGGTACGATTGGTAACAAAATATGGCGCGACTGTCCATTTAATTTCAACACTTTAACAATTTCACTTTTCAGAATTAAAATTCGACTGCCTGTTCTTCTACAATTCAACAAAAATGTAACGCACCAATTCAAACTGGTGGTGTGGCATGTTACATTCTAGTGAGTTTTTCATTGCTTACAGTCCATGGCCTGGAATATTTACCCAATTACATATATAGGGCTACCACCTTTCCATACGGGTTTTGGCGTGGTCTCGAGGAAGTATAACGAATGGGGGCGTGAATTGGACACGATGCCACCTTTCCTATGGCCATAGAACAGTGTACAGTTCTATGCTGTGGCGCATGTATATAGAATATCCAATCCGAAAGTGTTGGCGGTATCAATCCAAGAATAATTGGAAGTTGCTTCGATACAAGTCACACGCTTCCAATGTACCTTTAAGGGATATCAATGTACAAAATGTCTGTTTGTTCTGGGTCCGCCAATTGTTACACAATTAGTAATATCTAAGATTACATTAAAGATTCTTAAAATAAACAGCAATAGTAAGTTCAGTTTGTTTTTCACGCCTATTAACTTTGTCGTCATGTGAACGCTTCTGATAGTGTAGATAATGAATTTCAATGATTTTTTGCAGGATGCACTAGGACTAAACCAAGATTAAATGGTAGGCTTTTCTAAGTGTGTATGCTTTGATTTTGTGATTATTTATTTTCATATGTTTTGATTTTGAAATGTACCAGTTTACATACATTACTATTAATCTACAGCTAAAAATGCCTAGAGCTGTGATTGTCAAACGCTTTTAAGATCTTTTATACTAAACGTTTGGTGACTGCTTACAAAAGGAATAAAAATCGGAGTAATGTTCTTGTCAATGGTAGATTAGATTTCCTTTCATTAACTCCCTGAAACATTTGCTTTGCATTTCTGAATTTTGTGTTTATCTTGTAAATCTCTTCAGAAGTAGGTAATTTGCTATCAAATTGATGTATTCCAATGCTGAAATTCACAGCCCCTACTTATGACCTAAGCCAGTGCTTCTATAAGAGAGTTTCTCTTATAAAACCTTTTACTACCCAACTCAGTGTGATCAGTCAGGTTTGTAAAGATGTAAAGAATCTTTCTTGAGGTCCATTGGCATCTTTTACAATTTCAGCCTAAATACGAACTTCGTACTTATTATACTTTGACTGCAATAGATATACTAATTTTGTACCAAGAAATGCAGCGATTTGATTAGATTGTACGACTTATACCTTGACTGCAATAGATACTATTCTTGCAGCAAGGAATGCAAGGATTGAAGGTTAGCAAATACGGTCAATCGGAACCCTAAACAGAAAGGCCGTAACCGTAAACATTATATTATATGGCTTTGTGTTCACAGACTTTCTGTCGAGGCCTCTGCTTGGTTGTAGCGTACAATCCAATCAAATCAACCTACAAGAAAGGTGACTTCTACAGTCAAGTGGGAAGTTCGTATGAGCTTGGCATTGTGAAGATGGTCTGATAGCATCGAATTGCATCATTCCAATTTTCAGTAAACCTTTTGTGGTTCTTACAATTCCACTAAAACTAAGAATGACGTAGCTTTCGCAAAGCCCTTATATATATAATTATAAATCCCTTTGCTTCATTTACGGTCAAGCATTAATATAATTACACCAGACAAAAAAGTGTTAATCCCACTTTTCCAAACTTAATATACTCGTGTAGTTTGAAGAAGTCTAAGATGAGTTCAAACTTGACTATGTTTGTATCAAAGGTATTTGAGTTAATGTCCTTGACAAAGTGCACACATTTATACAAATCCGATGCATAGTAGGCCTACTTTGGTTTAAATTGATTTTCTGAATTTTGCTATGCTTATTCGGATTGATATGATATGGGCCAGTCAAAATAAAAAGTTTTGTGAATTTTTTCCATATTTTTTAAGAGAATTGGAATATCAGCCTCCAAATAGTATACTGAATCTTAGAATGTCTTTGCATTGATGAAATATGCTCTTTTGTAAGTTTACATTGAAAAGAAACTCATTTCCCTCCTAGAAATTTCAACTCCAAAAAATCACAAATGGGCCTCTGTAAAAACAAATTATTATCAACGCAAATATATCTTAAGATTAAAAGTACTATTTTGAGGCTGATATTCCAATTCTAATAAAAATAATGGGAAAAATTCAAAATTTTGTTTACTTTGTTCACACAATAGTTTTAATTATAACGGTATTTTGTAAGATTATTTAGATGGAACTAAATAAGAACAATGTTTATTTGTTTACTCACATTTTATAACAAATAATAACAGCAGTCATCTTTAAATAAAAATTGAAACGTTAAGAGTAAAACCTGATAACCCACATTTTGATCAAAAATGAGTTACGCATATCAAAATGATCGTCTCGGGATCAGCAACAACTTGATATCCCTCTGAAAGTGATTTGATCAACCTATTTTGTATATACCTGAATGATAATTGATATAAGATAGGCAAAATTTTAAGCTGATTAGGGCCAATATCATTAATTTTAACAGGGTCTCTAATAATTGTTAGCTAAATAAGATTATTATTATCATTAGGCTATAAATAAGCTTAGGCCCATGCCCATGTAAGACTGATGATTTTCGGGGTCTAACTTAAGTTTAATCTACTCTGTAGAAATGATTAATGATGATTAGTTTATAACCAATACAGGATCAACTAGCCTACATCGGAATTATTGATTGATATTGCAAACAATTTTTATTATTTATGAGCCTTAGATGGATTCCGTTGATATTATTTAGAATCTCTTCCTTAACATTGATTCTAAACTTAGATTTTCATTAATTAATAAAGAGACGTTCGATTATTTTTATTAGGATACCAGGTACAATCTAGAGCCGAATAATTGACGTGGTTCCAAGAGGGTTAATATAATAACTAAAGAGTTGTCATGGAAATTATGTCAACATGGTGATTGATTCTTGCCATTAGCTATTTATGTTGTGACGTCACGGGCACATGTAAAAACAAACATGGCTGCGTAGGCTAGCTGTCAAAATAGACTTCACTTGCTTGGACAAAGTGTATAGTAAACGTTAAAAAACTATGGATTTATTAAACGGAAAATGACAGTAGCATGTGCGATGCCTATGGCTGATTTGTCAAAAGATGAAACTGTTGTCATAACGTGTCCGACATGCGACCAGAGTGTTGCTCAAGCGCCAGGTTCGCGGAGAACCATTTGTCCGAATTGTGGGAACTTTTACGACAAAGATGCAGCGGAGAGACCACCTTCGTATAGAAGAGGACGGGTAATACTATTTTTCAGCGCATGATATTTTTTAGACCGAAACATCTGTCTCTATTCTAGTATATGATAGCTATTTTGCCGCCTGGTGTAGATACAGAAAAAATAGGCCCTGTTAAATGGAGACTTAACGCATCTCGGCAGTTGCGGTCTTTTTTTTTTAACTTATATTAAGATATCTCAGATCTGCCAAACCAACCAACCAACCCGGTTTACCCCTGTCAGTATGACAGGTTGGAGGGTCTTGCACGAAAAAGGCATCTAGTCGTTTCAATGAGACAATAAACCGAGGCCTGTGTGCTACAGTCTGTGCACGTTAAAGATTCCTTGACAGTTGGAAATTGAAAAAAGATCTGGCAAATGTCGCTGTCCAGGCAAAAACTCATTGCACCTTGCATGGCATTGCTCGTCTTCTTAAGCCAAATACTAGGCACAGAAAACTGGGACATTTTACTCAATTAATTTCATTTCAACTTTTTATGTGTACCGTATCAGAGAAACTGATTGCACCAATTGGCACCATTCCGATCTTGAAATAAAAGAATTGTAAAGAGGTGTTCTAAACATTTTTCGTGTATTGGGGACACTGATAGTATTGATTTGCACTATTCCATTTTTCAGTTATTTTTCAGTGGTTTCTGTAATTCCACTAAAACTAAATGTTAATGCTGTCACTATCACAAAAACTTATATTATATTAGGACCTTATGCTTAGTTTTAGTTCTATTGCAGGAACCACAGATGTCTGATTGAAAATTGGAATGCATAGCGATGCTATCATTGTCCCTGCATGATACACATAAAGCTTAAAAATCGTCCCTAAAATCCAATGTTCTGCAGCTGCCACTGAAGATATTTTGGTTGTATATATGTAGGGCTATTAATTTTTGTTTTTTTAGGAGACATCAAATAAATCAGGTGGTGGCTTACAAACATTAACTAATTTCTTTAATAATTTGGGACCAAATAAACGATCAAACAGCTCTCACTCATCATCCTCTAATAATGAACAAAATAAAACTGAATTACCACCTATCAATGGAAATAATAAAGTGTCAAGGAATAAAGGTCCATCATACTTAGGACCATCTTCACCCAACAGCAGAAATCAGTCTTCCTCAGAAAGTTCCACAGTTCAACGAAACACACCCAACTCTGCTACAAGCCGTATTATTTATCCTGTAAGGACCAAGACAAGTGAACAATTAATGTAAGTATTATAATAACTTTACAACTGAACGTCACACACTGTTGACAAAAATGACAAAAAAAAACTACGAAAGCCTCCTTGGTCTATATTATGAAAAGGATTTAGTGGCAGAAGAGAGATATCTGATCATCATATTCTGTTGATAAAAAAACAAAGAACTCTTCACTGGCAAAGGTAAAAAAAAGTGGAGCTCAATTCAGTCAATTTCTTAATCACTTTCCAGAATAAAAATTTAAGGTCTCTTTCGTAATGAAATGTAGCATTGATGTATATATTGATGTTTATGTTGATGGTTATTATATTGATGTTTATATTGATGTTTATGTTGATGATGTTATATTGATGTTTATGTTGATGATGTTATATTGATGTTTATACTGTCATCATATTGATGTTTATACTGTCATCACTTTCAGAACTTTATTTTTTCCCTTTCTAGTCAAGACATTCAAGATTCTTGGGAATCTGAAAACTGGAAAAATGTTAAAGATTTCTATACAACTACTTTTGAATCTGTTCTGGAACTAAATGCAGCTTTTAAGGTAAGATTTACAATTTGAAATTTTTCAAGAAACATTCCCTCCAAAATTGAAGCAATATGTTCTGGACAATGGACAAATTTTGATTTTTTGATAAATTTGTTTTCTGTTTTTTACCATATTCTTCAAACCAATTCATATTCGAATGATTAACTGGATTAGAAATGCTTATTTAAAAGATTAAAGCTGCCTTGAAATTTTCTGCTGTGTGGGTGTTCAGTCGTTTAATTACTTGTTCTCTAAGTTACGTTTTTAACAGTCTTTTAAAGGGATATACTACCTCTTAGGATCGCCTAAAAATTGAAATGTTTAAACTTGGTCAAAATAAGTCTTTGTTCATCAGTGGACTTACCTGGTGTCAAAACTATACAACAGAATCCATTGTGTCCATTCTATGAGGTAGTATACCTTTAAATTGAGATTCTATATATTTGTTTACGCCCTTGAATCTTCATCAATATTTATTATATTTTATGTACAGTATGTCATTTTAATATCCCAGACTTAAAAGATAAAGAAATCCATAATATATAACAATTGATTGTGACTTGAGAGAGGAATTATTCGCCCACTTAATATTCTCTTTTTATCTGTACATTTTTAATATGTTCTCTCACCATTAAGTGGGCATAAAATAACAGAAATGTCTGATGAACCTCAGTAAATATTAGTTCAAAGGATACCCCATTCTAGTCTAACATTATTATAATTGTCATAAATGATATCCCTAAAAACCTACATATAGACACCAAGTGTGTGAATCTAGGTAGCTTAAAAGCTGAGATATATTAAAAATTATATTACGGCGGCCATCTTGAGGGCCATCTTGAATTTCTCAGAGGATTCTTCAGTACTTTTGATATGCTGTTTAGAAAGGTTTTGGGCACCAATACTGAAAATATCAGCTTGTTACCAATTTGTTCCACCTTTGACCCTATATACACAAATTGGTTAGATGTCAGATTGACATCAATTTCAGGAGTTTTCGTTAGTTTTGTCATGTTAGCTTACAAAAGGTATGCTGCACGAATGCGTTGTGACTTGAATCCTGGGCTGATTGTTAAGATCATCAAGTCACAAATGGTGAGAGCATGAAACTAGACAGACTGGATAAGCTTTCTTTTCCAAATAATCTGTCTTAAAACAATAGAAAACGAAGTCAGGATCATCCAGATCGCCAATGAACGAATGGAGGTTTGTACCCTGTGAATTAAGTATTCTCTCGTTACCAGAAGTTGAAATTGAATTTCGATCGTTACAGTGAATATTGATAAGCAAAAATGTTATTTTATCTTACTTGCATCATAAAAGTAAAAAAATTATACGAAAGGCAATGGGTTCAATACTCTGGCCTTTGTTTTGAAAGACTAACCAGGGTTTTTACTGAAGTATCGATTGAATGCACCTATTCTACTGAAGTCTTGATTATCAAAAAGGAAAATTATAGGACTTACTGTACTTTCAACGCAAACGATCACAATGGAGCTTGATAAACTCGACTGCGAAAAAAATTTACCCATTGAACCAAAACATTTTTTCAGCAAGTCTGCTATATCTTACGCAGGCATTAATTAACCTAACACTCATTATTTTATAAAAAATGATGATGACAAAGGAAAGTATTATCAAATCATTCCTAACTTCATGAAAATATTATTAACAGCCTTGATATGCAGACTATAGATTTTCTTTAGTAACTTAAGAACCCAAGTTAGATTTTTCCTTCTTAATAGAAAAGGAGGTTCATCAGCTGGGAAAAGTGAAGTTTAGAAAGGTGACTGCATCACTTGTAATTAACAGGGGGAGAGATCAAGCCAAACTATACAATGTATATAATAGTGCCGGCATGATATATTGGTGAATCGATGTATTGCAATGATACCTTTCATTCCATAAAAAAAGAAGGAGATTTTTATAAGTTGGTTTATCATATAACAATTTTTTTCACTGAAATTGTTAGAAACTTTTTATAAGACAGTGGACGCTAAGCACTTCTATCAACTATATTACCAAATATCACAGTTATAAAGTTATAAATTAATATATATAGAAACTTTGAAGATATGATGTTAATTTTTATCCCATTACCCCATATCGTGATATGTATTGTATCGTGACCCTTGTATCACAATACTTATTTTATCGTGGCATGATTGACGATACCCAGCACTAGTGTACAATATTGTTGTTGTTATAGGATTGATAAAAACATACTGCTAAAGAACTGAATCAATGAGTTATTTAAGAATTATTGATTATTGTAAGAAACTAAATGCTGATGAATAACGGTACAGAATGAGAAGCTTGTTAATTATTTATGACTTAACTCTTTAATCAAATGTGGAATCAAAAGTTACTGTATTCCCCAATCTAATGAAAATTAGATTTCAATTTCGTTTCGTAATTATTTTTCATCAGTCTCCATTGTAGTCTTAAAAGATTTATGCCTTGGTTGTGTACCATTAACATTCATTTCAACCAATCACGGCCCGTCATATGGAATTTGTGTCTAAATATCGATAATGAATTGTGGGATAGCGAAACCCCCCAAAGTAGGGCGATATGATCAATGAGATTCTCGCTTATAAAAGTGGTTCTGATTGGCAGGAGAGTGGCACGTTATTGTCTGCTATAAATAGCATGAAACAGCACCAGTGTGACCAATTACAGACTGTCAAAAATATATAAATATCGAATTGAAATTATCTAGTTTTAACCAGAAGTTACTGTTTTCAATTCAATTCATTCAAAAAATATTTGTTTGTATTTTCCTGAAGGCATTTTCTTATTTATTTTAAAGAATTAACGGCTGTATTTTTTAAGTAAAACTTTCAGATACGTTAAAGGGAGATTTTAGAGATTTTCTAAATTGACACTTATAGCATCAATTTGCACCAACCCAATTTTCAATCAGACATCTGTGGTAACACTAAAACTAAGTGTTTTATGATATCTGGAATGCCCTTGTGTAATAAAGCATATTTTGCGGTTATTGACGTCATCAAACACCTTGTTTTAGTGGAATTGCAGGAACTACAGTTGTCAGATTGAAAATTGGAATGGTGCAAATTGATGCTTTCAATGTCCCTGATTCACATACAATTTTTAGGAAACCTCTTCACAATCCCTTTAAAGGACAAATTTCTATAGATTTTGGTGTGTAGTTTTCACAAATTTGAGCAAAAAAGTTTTTCGTTCTGCAAAAAAAGCAGAATGCCCTTTCATGAGTAAAATATAAGGTTTTAGAATGTCAAAGACATAAAAATTATCTATGTTGTTTGTTGTGGAGAAAATTAAAAATATCCAGATAAAAACCAGTTTGACAAGAATGTTTATTGATTTTTTTTATGTGAGAGGAAATGAGGCATTTAATTCAAATTGAACTGTGTTGACACGGAATTTTTCTTTTTCCTTATATATATTTTTAAATTTGTTATTAATCTGTTTTTCCAATAATTTAAAGGGACAGATGCAGCATTTGCTGAAATAAATCATACCTTGGTCTCAGAAACGTGAATTGTACAAGGTACATGAGTTATTGCCCTTGTTCTTTAAAATACATTCCAAGCTTTAGATCTTATTCTTACCAGATTTCCGACAAAACTTGAACATTTATAACTAAAGGTTGAATATTTCATACTGGTAATTGTTACTGTTCTGCCAAATATTTTTATTCAAAATCAAAGCTGCTAGTGGACGTATATTACCTTGCCTGGCAAGAACCCTTTAATTGATAATGATGATGAAATGTGGGATAATATCCCAAAGGATAGTGATATGAAAGCCTCATTTGTTTTTGCTATCTCATAAATATTCACTGGTTCTACATGATAAGCTTTGATTGGCTTATAAATGATGTTATTAGAACAGGATTGCAGTTAAAAACTTAAATCACAATGCAGATGGAAAAAAAAATATCAGACAACAAAAAGAAAGCAAATTGTAATCTAATTTTGATTAGTTGGATTTGAACCCTACCCTTTCTCCTTTATTGTATAAATACTGATATTCACATTAATTGCCGTGCATGCTGGTCATTGACCCAATGCCTATTATTACATTGAGAAATCGGACTTAGAGTGGGTTTGTTATTGTCTATCAATAATTGATATTGCCAACTATAATTCTCACAAATAGAAATTCTATAGACAACTAGTAATGATATACAGATTATTGAGATATTAATAGCAAGGTTTTAAAGTAAGATAATTGTTATTTAATAGACAAATCATGTGAATGGCCAATATAATTATTTATCAGCTTCCAGTAAACAATAAAGCTATTTAGTACACACTGTGCGAATTTTGACGGCAAATAGCCAGAGAACTTGCATCTAATATGTTCTAGTGTTACCAGTGCTACGACATTTGCCTGAGCATTGGTCGAAGCCTTTGCACCAACATCAAGTGTGTTTGATATTATTCCCCTGTATATTCATTGCCATTGACTTGCTAGGCGAAGTCTATTGTAAACTTTCCTTTAACTCAACGAATCACAGAGGCCATAAGCATCACATGAGTCATGTGATTAAGTGTCCTGAGCATGCGTTAGTTTAATTTACAAGTCATCAACGTAGGCATTTGCCGAGTGTATCTACTGCTTTGGGTGAAGAATTCAGCAATGAATAGTTCGGCCATAGCCACCATTTTTTTTTTTTTTTTTTTTTTTTTTTTCCATGTGTATTGCAGGAACCACAAAAATCTGATTGAAAGTTTAACTAGTTTAAAGTGCTAAATCAAATATTTTTTAATTAACAATTTTGAAACAAGTTCAGGTAGAAATCCTTTATCCTTTCAGATATGATTTACAACAGTTTAAGATGGCATACTGTCCCTTTAATTCTTCCATTTAGCAATAACGTAAAGCAAATAATGACTAATTCAATGTACCAGTTGTTATTTTACTAGTAGATGGGTTAACAATGCCATTAATGTGTCATTTTGAGAAGACAATGATAAGTTCACTCAATTCTGTCTATATCCATCTATAATAATACACAAAAG